CAAATTGGGAATGTAACGCTTGTTCCTATTGGGACCAAGTGAGGAAAGCCTAATTAAGGCAAGTTAAATATTAAAACTAAGTTTCGTTTGATTACCTTATTTTTGATGACTTTATATCGTTAAAATACTTAATTATTCTCTACTCCGGAGAGGCCGATTGTATCGACACGGGTTTTCTGCAGTTTCCCCGTGTCCTCGTGCAAATGTGATACAATGGTTAGGGCGTAAGTCGGCTGCAGATGCAACCCGACATACTATGTGTGTAATAGTGTGTCGGGCAAGTAGGGAAGTAAAGGAAAGGAGGAGAAGTATTGGTGTGGGAATGAGGTAGTGAGGTGGCGAGGGGGAGAGTTGAGGTGAGAAATGGAAAGTAGTGAAATAGTGAAGAGGGAGAAAGGGGGTGAGACACAGAGAGTAAGAAAATATAAACTTGCAAGGTGGAAGTATTGTAAAACGCCAAGCAATACTTGGCATACAATTTAAATAAATGATTTACTACTACTTAATTATTAAACGTATTTAAATCAAATTTCCGCGAAAATACAGATGCCGAAATTTGTTCCTTGGGGAATTCGAACCTACGATCGCTACCTTGCTCACATCTGAGACCAGTGTCTTTACCCGCTCGGCTATTCATTCAATTAAAAACTTATTACTATTATATCAATATGAACGAATCCATATGTATAATTTTTTAACAGATTTATGTAAATCATTACTTATTTTAAATCTCAATAATAAATAATGATAATGGTTTAAATATTTTCATACCTTTAAATTATTTATTTTGTCTAAAACTACAATATATTTCCAGTCAACATAATCCAGTTAAGGTTTAATAAAAACAGTTAACTATTATTGAAAGCACAAAGGATATCTGGAAGTATTTATATTATTAAAATACTTTGTTATTGGAATTAAAAAAAAAATACCTAATTTAATGTAAATCTTTTATATTGTTACATGTTTACTTTTAATTCATCCTTACAACTTTTTGATTCGTTTTTCAAACATTTTAATGAGGATAATGTAATATGTGCCTAATTCAGATGTAATTTTTGTTAGCCCTATGCGGACCTGATAAAAATTTCCTAATAAATGACGAATAAAGACATTGTGTCAGTTAAAGTTGTAAATGGGAAGTTATTGGGTAGTGCGAAATTAGAAAAATCTTATTTCATCCAAAAAACAACTTTATATAAGGCATAACTAATATTAGGCATAAGTTAGAAATACCTAATTTACACTAACCCATTCAATGCTCAATAAGGACACAATAGGTATTAAGGCATGCCTAAAATAAATTCTACTCGGATGGACGATAGATTGAACTTGTTAGGAGTGATGAAAAAATTTTTCAACTGGTGAAGTAAAATTGTCTTTAAAGATGATTTATCAAACCAATGAAAGAAAATATCTTTGAACGTGGTTGCTGACTTATTAAAGAATTTATAAACCGATCATCTTATGTAAAAGTAACAGATTTTTCTCGAAGAAGACCCCGTTTTTTTTGTAATGAAAGTAAAAATTTTTTAGTTCCATTTTAATGTACGAAAATTATAGATTTGAATTGAATTATACTTTCTGCACATTCTACAAGCAAAATAATTAAACATTTTTGATTGTGACAAGTAATTTCATGAAAGCAATATTTTTTTATCCTGAGAATATAAAAACGAATACTTTACAACTTCAATTATTTTATAAAAAGTATTTTTTAAGCATTAAATAGATGATTCATTATGAAGTAAGAACTAAACTCTGTTATATCTTAAGGTAAATTTCACCATTTTATTAAAAATAGTACTCTGTTTCTGTTGATCACATTTTAACTGTTTCAAAGTAATTTTTGTCTAAGTTGTGGTGTAAATTTTACCCCATCACAAACACAACTATTATTATACTTTTATTTGTGCAGTGTAAATTAAAAAAATTTACTCCTTAATAAAATGTTAAAAACTTTTAAGTACCATCATTTTTTTCAACCTCTTATAATCTATTCTCATTGAAATCTAATTTTAGTTGTTAAATCCAATACACAACATCGATGAGGCGCTACTTATTCTCTCGTAATGGCGTCTGTTGACTGAAAGGAAGAAAATGATTCAAGACATGAAAAAGTAGAAAGAATAGTCGTGAAGCGAAAGACGAAATAAAAGACAAGAAGAGTAAAAAAAAAGCGAAAGGACATAGGCTCATAGTAGAAGTAGAGGAGAAGAAAGGTGAATGGGGGCAGCAGTATACCGGAGGAGGGGGGAAGAAAAATTAGAGGATTCTCGAGGCAAAGTCGAGTGGTTAAGGGGTTGGAATAATAGAGCTAGCCTTAATGCCATCATCTCCGTCGCAATGAGAGTGAGAAGAAAGCCAGAGAGTAGAGGGGTAGATTGAAGTGATGAAATAGGGATGGGGATAAAAAAGATATAGTCGATAAAAAAAGAGAAGGGTTGATGGTCGCTCGTGGTTTGAGTACTACACAGGCTATGGAATAGACAGGATGATAACATTTGTATCATATTTAACGGTAGAGTGGCCAGGTTAAAGGGGGTAGGAGACACCCTTCGTTGTACCACTACTACTACCATCATCCACCACTACCACCCTTTCGAAACCACCCGTCTGCTTCTCCTTCTCTTTTCTACTGAAACCACCTCTCTCGTCACCCTGTAATACCACTGAAATCAATACTACCACACGGCCTCTCTATTTACTCAAGTTCAGCACACAAATTTATTGCGTCTCGCTCACTTAGTTCTACATCTATATCAGCTATTGAGTATTTTTTATCATAATACAGACTACCAACATACACACAGTGTCAATAATACATTATTAGTTTATTTATTTCATATTTATCACTTCGTTTAGGGTTGGATAGTATGAAGTTATTTAAATTCATTTAATTTTCTATTACAGCTTAAATGGTATATTTTCCTCAAATAAAAGTTTCAAGACTTTAAATTTAAAATAACAAACGAAATGTTATAGAGAACCTGGAAATCTATCTGAGCAATTAGATTTTAATCATTAATACAATTATTTTTTATTTTTATTAACAGATATTTGGTTTTAAGTTTTGTATCGAAAGAAATATTTTATTCTTATGGTTAAATCATTAATGTCTATTCGAAATAGTTATTAAATCTTTCAGATCAATTGCCATTAATCGAAACTTGCAATAAAACTGATCAACAAATGGTTCAGAAAACGATACTTTTCTCACTGAGAGTGAAAAAGTTGCCTTATTTAAACACTGGGTAAATTATAATGGATTTATAAATATATAAAAATATAAATTAAATAAATATATAATTGCAAATGGTTAATTTGTCTTACCTAGAAGTCAATGTCATTGTTTACAATATTCACATAGAAAACTTTATCTCTCTAGAATGAAAAGGTGAACTTTCTACACGGGTATTGCGATGAAAATGTTACTTTAGTTTTTTAAAGATGATAAAACAATTTTCGAATCGATGTGAACAGAATTTTTTTTCGATGATCTTCATATTACAGCACTTGAAATATTTTCAGTTTTAAGTCCGAATCTCAATCCATTTCCAAGTTATCGTCTAGGAAAAAATTGTCACACATAATAAGTACACATAGACAAGCATTTTGAGACCAATATTGATGAACTTTTAGCACTTCAACGCAAAGAATTACTATCACATATTAAGTTTACATTTTCGCATCAATAATAACAATAATTTTCGAGAGCCATCATACTCGTACCGAGACATTTTTAAACATACATCAAGAATTAATTTTCAATTACACTATTTACATAAATCATAAATCTATAATTGATAGATTGATTTCCATAGTCTACTATTATAGAGTAAATTCGACATGTTCTTGTTTTACTATTCTTCAAACTACCTTCTAAATACAATCACTAAGAAACATCCGCTCCATCTACATTTCAACAGATTCAGTCTTTTTAATTCGATCAAATATTGTTAGATAAATTCGGTTAGATTTCAACAAAAAATACTTGAAAAGGATACGTTATCTGCCAAGATTGTGAATTTTAATCTAAAAGTAAATTTATTTTGCTCGACTAGGTATTAAAAAAAGCTGAAGTGTAGGTTAATAAATCTTAATCGATTTCTAAAGAGATTCGATTCAAATGAGATGATATCTTAACGGGATCTTATAAGACCTAATTGAATCTCAAGAGGGTAAAGATGATTAAGTATGCTGTATAGATATCAATTAATAGCATTGAATTAACTAGATCTAGATAGATTTTATGAGCTTTAGAACTAATAACTCCAAATAAAAAAATCAGTGTTAAATTTCTCTCCGCTATGTTAGCAAATCAATTCATGGCAATGATAGAGCTTTTAACACAAAAAAAATAGATTCAAAATGATGATAAAATGTATTGATTAGAACTTATCAATTAGACTTCAAAGAGTAAATGCTGAAATTAATCGCTACTGATTCCTGCTAGTATCAGATGTTTTTTGATCTAATTATGTATAATTATTAACCATTTATTTGAAAAATAATTTTTAAACTGACATAAAATCTTTTATCTAACAAACGATGTAGAAATGAACAAGTAATAAAGTATTAATAAAATAAAAAAGGTAATAATGATTAGTAACAATTAACGGTGTGATTGGAATCACTAGATTGAATAGCTCTTTGACAGGGATTGATTTTGTCATTCACGTGATGATTAGAGTGTGTGGGGAAAATAGAATGACCGGACGAAATCAACCCCTTTATCCTTCATCGACCGCGAAATCGTTTCCGTGCACAGGTGGTTTCACGCCGCGCCATACAAGCGTTTTGTATTCACGCACGCGTTTCACGTGCCCTCTCCCCCTTACCTAATGAATTGATGAGCTGCTTGCATGACACGTAGCTACTTTGAGTCTTTATCAACTTTTTTTACCCTACTTACTTCCTTCATTATTCTTCCATCCATTTCTCAAGTAAACACAATTACTATTTAGAGGAAATAGTTTTAACGGATTTTTGGTTTTTAGGATAGTGATGCGGAAAAGAGTGATCAAGATCTAGTTGTTGATGTGGCTAATGAGGTATGTTAATGATTTAATTTTCCACATTTTCTACTCAATCTAACTATAAAAAAAAAACAAACTTTAGAAAATTAATTTTTGCGATATTATTATGAAAGAGTGAAATAAAATTCTTTACTAGGGGTAAAATTTCACTTCTCAGTAATTAATTAGCATAGAATGCAATAAACTTGATGAAAACATCTATCCGTATGAAAAATTTTTTCACTTTAAAGTAACGATCAATTTTAATGCTAAATTGACATGGAGTGAATTTTTACCCCAAGAATATGTAAGAATCTTTTATAAACAAAGTATTTTTGTTTTTACAATTTAAAAGGTATTTTCATGGCTTATTGACTTTCAGCTATTTTTCCCTTGCGACTTTGTCCACATCAATGTCAAATATAGACTTCAATCAATTTTATTTAAAATAGTTGTTAAAAAATCATTTGGTTATATATTGGTATTAATGATATGATATATATTGTATCTAATGAATAATGTTAATATTTGAATTCTGACCGAAATTGTGTCTATTTTGTTGTGACGATTGGTTTTATCATGCTTTTGAAGGAATCAGTTAATAGATCGATTTAAATCGTATGTAATATATTTTGAATATTAAAATACAATTTAATTCGATATTTTCTAATTTTTTTTATGTTACTAATGTTATTGATGAGACATTCCATTTCTGTCATGCCCTAAACAGATAATAAAATAAAACTTCCAGTCTAACAACAGAATAACAATTAAAAAATATGCTCTCATTTTAAAAGGAAGTAACATCTCCACATGCTAACGGAGACCATTTGGATCATCGTGAAAACGGAAGTATAGAGAAGATAAATGCCCCAAGTCATGGCAGTGCGCCAATATCTAGTGGAAGTATAACGTCATTGAAAGAAAGGCCACCGTCACGGAGTGGAAGTTCATCAGCAAGGAGCACACCCTCACTGAAAAGTAAAGATGTAAGATCTTGCAACAAAGCAAGGCTTGCACTTCAAATTAATTTCAAAAGTCTTTAAATTTATCATAACAATACTAAGCTGAATAGGATATATCAGCTTTAATGATTAACTAATTAGATGATCCATATTGATAAGGTCATACAGTAATGCTAATCCTTCTAATTAATGAAATTTATTGTAGATCGACAAACCGGGAACCCCAATGGCACCGAAGGGATCGCGCAGTTGTACCCCAACTATGGGAGCAATCCTTGGACCCTTAACGTCTCGAGGATATCATCAACCATCGCAGCAAACGTCACCGCAGGGATACCAAGCATTGCAGTCCCGCGCCAATGAACCACCGCAATCTCCATCATCTTACAGTAGTTTACCCTACGCTAGGACATCTATAGTAAATATTATTATATCTAAAACCTCATTCCATACCTTGATTATTAACGAAAAAAATCTTCCAGCTTGGATTTGATGGTCACATTAGAGTTCCTTCTGCTAATGGACTTAGTAATCTTACCGGAGGTAAACCGTAAGTACCACTTCACTTATCCTCTTCACAACTAAAGCTGAAATTAATGAGAAATAACAAAAAATAATCACTTCATTAGAAATAGTTAAAGTTAAGTTTAAAAAAATAATAAAATTTCATCAAAACAATAACAAATAAATTTTCAGAGCCTATTCGTTTCACATGAATGGCGAAGGACAGCTTCAACCAGCACCATTCCCAACTGACGCTTTAGTAGGTCCAGGAATACCCCGACATGCTCGGCAAATTAGTACTCTAACTCACGGGGAAGTAGTGTGTGCGGTAACGATATCTAATCCTACGAAATACGTTTACACTGGTGGTAAAGGTTGTGTAAAAGTTTGGGATATCGGACAAGCAAATGGGAGTTCAAAACCTGTATCACAATTAGATTGTCTCCAACGTGATAATTATATTCGATCAGTAAAACTTTTACCTGATGGGAGGACTTTAATTGTTGGTGGTGAAGCGAGCCAATTGAGTATTTGGGATTTGGCAAGTCCAACTCCAAGGATAAAAGCGGAATTGACATCAGCAGCACCTGCATGTTATGCTCTAGCAATATCTCCAGATTCAAAAGTCTGTTTTAGTTGCTGTAGTGATGGCAATATAGCTGTCTGGGATCTTCAAAATCAATCACTGGTTCGGCAGTTCCAAGGCCACACCGATGGAGCTTCATGTATTGACATCTCCGCTGATGGGTCAAAGCTTTGGACTGGTGGCCTTGATAATACTGTCCGATCTTGGGATTTAAGAGAAGGAAGGCAACTTCAACAGCATGACTTCACCTCCCAAATATTTTCTTTAGGATATTGCCCTACTGGGGAGTGGCTTGCTGTTGGAATGGAAAATTCTCATGTTGAAGTTTTACATGCAAATAAATCGGATAAGTATTCACTTCATTTACATGAATCCTGCGTATTGTCGTTGAAATTTGCTGCTTGCGGCAAATGGTTTGTGTCAACCGGCAAAGATAACCTTCTCAATGCTTGGCGAACGCCGTACGGCGCATCAATATTCCAGGTAAATTTACTTTATGGAATATAAAAACATACTTTCTTCTCTTTTAAACTTAAAAAATAATTAATGTAAATCGGAGAAAAATAAGAAAAGAAATTATTATGTCTGAATGAATATCACTCAGTAAGTAAATGTATGTTACAGTCCAAAGAATCATCATCAGTCTTAAGCTGTGACATTTCAACGGATGACAAATATATAGTAACTGGATCAGGTGATAAAAAAGCAACAGTCTATGAAGTGATATATTAGACCATCACGGAGAGGTTTTTGTCTAAATTAAAAAAGAACGGACGATCACGTGTATAAGAATGGATAAATACTGTTGCCACGCGTGTAAATAAATATTTATAATCAATACAAGTGAATGAAACATGAATAAATATCGATGATGAATCACTAGATACCAAATACAACGAACGTATTGTGGATGTGTGACAAATTAAAGACATTCATGGATTACCTTTTTTGTATTATACAATAGAAATATGTTGATAGTTAAGAATTGTACATTTCGTGCGCTGATGAAATAATTTATTTGATTGCAATTGATTCTTTGCAATCGTAATAGTTTTCAGAAAAATCTTATTTACCGACTGTTGACAATTAGTCGGTAAATTCGCCGATTATTTTATTGACAAGTGATAATTTGACAATCGGGAAATTGTGTTTTCCCACGTTGGCAAATTGAAAAAGATTTTCAACATACACACGGCGTCATTAATGCCTGATCCATCAAAAACTTTGATACCATCCGAGAAATTATCGATGGAGTAGTTTTTTTTTTCAAATAGAGATTCAACATCTAAATTAATTTAGAAAGTTTATGATTAAATACCCTTCCAGATAGTCCCTATAACAATAGACTATCCCCACTAAAACATTTTTGAACCTTAATTTAAATAATAATAATAATAATAATAATAATAATAATAATAATAATAATAATAATAATAATAATAATAATAATAATAATAATAATAATAATAATAATTTAAACTTACTTCTTCAGTCATCATGAAATAATCGTGCACATTAATAGTCATGACTATAAATGTTAGTTTAATTATAGTAATTATAAACTTAAGTTCATAATTAAATTATAATTATCATTACTTAAATTTTCTTGTTATTATTTGAATTAAGGTTTAAAAATTTTTTAGTCGGGATATTCTATCGTTGTAGGGACTATCTAAAAGAGTATTTAATCATGAACTTTCTAAATTAATTTAGATGTGGAATCTCTATTTGAAAAAAAAAACTACTCCATCGATAATTTCTCGGATGGTATTAAAGTTTTTGATGGACCAGGCATTAATGACGCTTAGTGTACAGGAATTAAACAAAAAAGAAGTTGAAATGAATGAAAAATAAATTGTTTTATCAGACTGTTTTTGACACAAGTCTTATAGAATCTTGTAGTCATGGAATGGTTATAAACGCATGTAGACTTATATCAACTATCAAAACTTGTCAATAATGTGACTATTGTACAGTAATAACAATAATAATGATAATAATTCTGAAAAAATAGTGATTTTATTATTAGATAGGTGATAAAAATGACGAAATTGAAAACACACTAGGTTACATCAAACAGACATACACTACTTGGTAGCGAATTTCATAATTCGAATAAGAGATAATTTATACAGGAATAGTTTATGAATTTTGGAAATTGCTAATCAAAATCTCAAAAAAAACCTCCAAAACAGGCCCAAATAATCTAAATTAAATAATAACGTAACTCTATACCATTCAAAAAAATCTTAAACACTAAGAGTTCGTCGAAAAAAAAACCCTGCAAGTACAGCGTATGCAATTACAGTGTACCTTTGCCCTCATTTTCACCTTTTTTTTCAAACAACAAAAATAAATCTATCACAACGTGGTAACGTCGTGTCCTCAAATAATACCTTATATATAGGCCAGTGGCTCAAATAATTCGTTGGATACATGATTTTTTTTTTGGGGACTGTCCCTAAATTATACAAATGTCCTCGAATAATACCTTGTACTTAAGAAATGTCCCCAAATGACACTCTGATTAGATTTATACTTATAAGTAATATGATTACTTGCATTGCTATTGATACTATTCGATGTGTTGATAATTTTTCATATCTGAACTTATATTTATGCCTGGATATCAAGTATTAGAATAGCTCAACAAGTTCAGAAGCAGGTCACATTAGTAACATTACATCTACATTAACAATATAATAGTGTTCACGGAAGATGAATAGAATGTCATGAATGATTGTAACATTTAAATAAGTGAACATCACTTTATTATTTATGAGAGTATGAGTAACTCAACTATTACGTATTACTAGATTAGATCCCTTATCTTTAATTTGTGTGTGAACGAAGTGCGCGAATTCATAATTATGATAGGACTACATCTTTGGCTAACAATAAGTTTTATCACTTTCCTAAAAAATAGTTATTTATTTAATAAGATTTGTTACAATGTTTTTGTTTTTGGTAAACCGTACAACGATAAATGTTATTAAAAGAATGAATAGGATAAACAAACTTATCTAAACCCCATAAAAATCTCGAATTTGTACTACAGGAGTTTGATAGCGTTGATGATAGGTAACAATACCATTCTCTGACCATGATGTTTGAAATGATGCATCTAGAGGAAAATAATAGTTTTGAACATGCATCTCAGTGATTATCAAAAGCAAATCACATGAGGAATTAAACCAAATGTTATATTGAAAATGTCTCGTAAAATTTAAGTACTCTTTCCTAGAAGACTGATGAGCATGAATATATATTTTTATTTTAGCTTTCAATGCTGTTGCCAAAGTATCAATGATCAGTTTATGAAGCGATGGCAAACATGTTGGGTGGTTGTTTAAATTTTTTTGGTCATAAAATTTGCCTATTAAAGAAGAATATGACGGTCTTGGACTGCTCGCTATAGTGATTTCATAGTCATCTAAATGTCTTGTTCGATCTAAATCAAAATAACGACTAATGTTTCCTAAAAAAGAAACCATTTTTATTCATATAATGATAAAAATAATCTATTGTAGGGAAACAGATTAGATCTACACAGATCTTCTTAGATCTATTTTTTAGCACAATTATGGATCTCTGTAAATATGTTGGGCCGAAAAAACGATCAAGCTTAATCATATTAGTTTTAATTGATCTCGGCAGATCGAACAAGATCTTGCTATATCTGTGTAGATCTAATTGACTAGAATAAAGTTCAGCAGATTATTTCTCCAATCTACATAGACCTCAAAATCAATCACTTGTAGCTTCTACGTCTGTTTTTTCAAATACCGTTGAATTCCGATCTAATGTGATTCCATCAACTGTTTTCCATTCATCAGGAGCAAAATTTGATATGTTATTATAAGGATAAATTTTAATTTCTTCATCAGCATTAGAACATAATAAATATGATTTTAAAATTTCATAAGCTTCTATTATTTTAAAAATATATTCCACAGCTTTAATATCGCATAGTGCAACATACAATACGTAAATTGGAGTTATTACATTCCACTATTCTGTATTTTTCATTATGTTAAACATAATTTCATGTATATTTATTATTTGTTTAATAATAAATACTAAATCGTAGAAGCATGACACCTCAATTAAATACAATCACAGCGGAATATTCCGGAATTATTCGCCGAATCAATCTACGATATTTTTTTTTAAGATTTGCTACATCATAGATAATACGATGACAATCATTGAAGTTATCAAAATCAAAGAATCGATCTGGATGTACTCTGTGCCCAAGAAGAACTATCCACTGTCATTGACAATATATTATTATGTTTTTCGTTCTTATCACAATTTTTTGAGTAAGTTCTGTTCTTATAGGTTCAGAATTTTAAATTCCGATTAATTGAAACACAATTGAAAACAAATTGCGTTGTAGAGTCTTGAAGGTTTTGCGACTTTAAATTTTTTATCATCTTTGTATTTTACTCTATTATTTTGACTCGCTCGCTGTATACTTTTATGATTTTTCTTTTATAGTTGTTTAGCTTTTAACTTATCAACGTCACTTACAGATAATGCTATAGGTGCTGATTTACGAGTAGATTTTTCAAAAGGAATAACAGGTTGTGGTATATATTTTTGGAGAGACTTTGATTGTAAAATACGAGAATACTTATCAACTCTTCATTAACCAGTTTTTTTATTATCATGACTAAAATTCTTTTTTGATAAACATTGATTTCTTTTCACGCCGAATTTAAACTACTCATTCCAGAATTTTCCATTTTTGCACTCCCGGACGTTCTTAATTATTTTATTCATCGAACTTGATTTAGTAGATATATAAGACCAGTTCTGGATCACTCTGCAATACCGGCCGAGTCAAGAAGTGGGTTCTGATCCGCACTAATTACCGACCGCGATAACTTTGACGATGAGTTGCCGACTTACCGACCGTGATAAGTTATCGACACTGATAAATTATCGGCAGCGATTTTTACCGATCCTGATTGGTGATAAATTATCTTCAGTGATAATATTATAATTATCAGTAAAAAAATGACCGTAGAAAAAAAATGGCGGTGATGGGCCTTGAAGATGTTAGATGATGGGAAAAGGTTTTAAAGTAAAAACAATTTCTCTTTCAAGTTAATTTTTTCTATTAAAAAAAAAAATTATAATATGTTTTTTCTTTTTTATAAAAAAAGTAATGATCTCTTGAATGATAGTTCCCAAGTAGCATTAATCTACCTGTAAGAATCAAAATTATTTTCTTTAATAACTTTTTCCATATAAGTAAAACTAGAAAAACTAATCATAAAACAAGACTTACAGTATCATAACCATCATCATAGTCAGTGGAATCATCATCATAATTATCGTCGTCATCAATTGTTGGAGGTGAAGGAGATAGAACTTCTACCTCACTATCACTGCCTTCGACAGTAATGATTCCCTGGCTTGGAGGTGGTGGCACGACGGAGATGTCTCCTCCTATCCGGAATCATATGACGTTACCGGGGAACGTTAGGCAGGTAGCTGTCACGCCACAAAGTGTGAGGGTAGCGCCTTCTATCCCTCCCGTCTCTCCCCAATGATCTTCAAGTGCCATTAGAATAGTAATTCCTTGAAGGGTGATCGGTAGGTCGAACCAGGCCTCTGGGAAAATAAAAGTGCACATCTTTTTCTAAAAAGTAATAACGATTGTAATCGATTTTTTTCAAACTTCAAAAAAGAAAAATTCTCCCACTTGATAAATTATCATTTAACAATTCATGAAATTCACAATTACACTCAATAAATAATCATATTAATGCATAAAAATTAAAAAAAAAAACACACTTTTTATGCTTGAATGAAGCAAAAGTCACTACTTACTTGGTATGGTTTGATCAGTTTGACTGTAGAAAATGAACTAAATATTTTGTCCTATGCATCATACACCATGGCTAAATGTTTAAATTTTTAAATGACATTTTTTTTTTTTTTTTTAATTATTAAAATAGTTTGTAAACGATCTCTACTATGGATAAATAATTTTAGACACATATTTTTTCGATTGGATTTTTAATTAAACGTGTTTTCTTTGTCGCTCATGCCTCTGCTATCTTCTTTTCCTCACTCTGCCACCGCTTCCTCACTTTGTCTATACTTTTATTCTCCGCTTAAAAGCTGTGATTCATGCAAGAGTTGAAAGGGTCGTGTGTCGAAAAATAATCGACTTATTTTATTTCATTTAGAAACGTTAACGTTTGACTCAGTCGGTCGACTGCATCATATTTTCCTCACCCTTATCCCTTTTTCACTTTGTTTATGCTCTCATTCTCTGTTACTTATTGAAGTAAGACAGAATATATATTATGAATAATCAATTGAAATATTTCATTTACTGTATGAGTAATC